TTTGCCACGAGAACCTGAGATGCCTCCAGTCACAGATCTGCTAATCTGTGACACTAGGCAGGAGCTACTGGAATGAGACTTTTCCAGCACTAATGAGACAACAAAGGTTGAGATGACAAAAGCCCCTTCTGGATCGGGACCCCTTAAGACAAAGTCCCCTGAGAGCTGCCACCGTGACACAGAATGCTGCTTGTCACTTCCTCTCTCAGATCTCCAGCCTGTTAGGTTGGCTGCCAGATGCAAGCCAACACTTGGCATCTTCTGGCTGGTGAAGACCAGAGAGTATTCTCACTGGTCACAAAGCCAAAGACATAGAACAAGATAAAAAGACAACCTCATCTGCCTTATGCTTCTCCTCCTATGACAAATGACACAAAAGACAGAGACAAAAGAGAACCATGACTGGGAGGAAAGGCATCTATAGAAAACAAGAGTACTCATACCAAAATTTACCAGAGTCGCTATACTGAAGAAATCAGTTCACACAAGTATTTTCTCCTGCTAAGCTAAATTTGGAAAGGAAGGGACAAGAAATTTTTACCTTCTCTCAAATGGGCACTACAGAGAGAGATCTGGGAGAGCTGACCTTGATAAGAATTCTTAACCCTTCACCAGCTTCTGCCAGTTTTCCAGGATTCCAACTGCAGATGTAATCTCGGGCCCTCCAGGACCAGTTCAACTGACCCATCTCTTATTAACACAGTGATTAAGAACTGCCTTTCAGAAAATGTGCAAACTCACATAGCCAGGGCTCGCACAAAAGGAGAAATTGTGACTTGAAACGACCTTGGAACTAAAGATCCTCCTTCCCACAGAACCCAAGGACCAGGACACGACTGGGGCTTGAAAGTTGGACTCTTATCGGAAGTGAGGGGATCCCTCATTCAGGAAGATCTGGTGTTAAAATTCCTTTCCCACCTCATCAAAAATGTTTAGAACCCTATCATAAAAGTTTAGAATGTTACCAGAAATGCTTGAAGTCCCCTCATCAAAACCTGTCCTGTTGCTGACGAAATGAATATACGAACAGCGGTTGCTGTGTAGTAGTCTTCTCCTCTATCCCCGAGCTAGCCGGGCTCTTTATTCTTATAGCCCCTAAACAAAGCCGGCCTTTTGCCAAAGCAGTGAGTCAGTGACCTAAACCTGCGCAAGCGTCCCACAATAATGACCTTTCCCCTACACATCTGTTCATTTTAACAGGTTCCTTCATAACGTTTCAAACTCCCAAGGTCCCAGGCTTGCTCCTTTTGAGGAGCTGATAAAACATTCTTGTTTGCAAGCAATGTTTTCCCTGGGGCCTTGTGAGTTCACCAGGCAGAACATTCTGTTTGCAGAAAAGTCCAGCCAGTCTTGTGGATGCCTCGCGTGCAAGAACAACCACATTTCATGCCAGGTCTCCTTCACCTACAAATTAAAGAGATAGATATCATCTCAAAAGAGTGCAAGGGGCCGGCGGGGTGGTGCAGCGGTTAAGTGCTCACGTTCTGCTTCTCGGTGGCCCGGGGTTCCCCGGTTGGGATCCCGGGTGTGGACATGGCGCCGCTTGGCAAGCCATGCTGCGGTAGGGGTCCCACGTATAGGGTAGAGGAAGATGGGCTTGGATGTTAGCTCAGGGCCAGTCTTCCTCAGCAAAAAGAGGGAGGATTGGCAGTAGTTAGCTCAGGGCTAATCTTCCTTAAAAAAAATAAGTGCAAAACCTTTGTATCAATGACAAGAATTCCCGAAGGCCAGCGATGGCCAATGATAAGAAAGATTATGAAAGTTTAACATTAAATCAGAGTGACATCAGTAAACGGCAACCTAGGAAACTGCAGGTCCATGTTTCCCCTAAAAACACGGGGTGAACAACATGCTGATCAGGGCAGCTTTGTGAGCACTGTAGAAACCAGTGAAGGATCTGCAGAAACCAAGCAAACACCTTGGCCGAAAAAAACCCACCATTGAAATGATAAGAAATTTGGGAGCATTTTTGCTGGCCCTGGCCCTATGCCCTCCTTCCTGGGAGTCACAGCACAGTGGGGAGGAAGCTGCCCCACTCTCAGGTCTACCGCAGAGAAGGAACATGACTGCATGTTCTGCCTTGTCTGAAGGCTGAGCCCGGGCCGCGTGTCCGCAAGGCCTGCCTCTGCGCTGATGGGAACAGCAGTGAGAGTTTGCAATCCGGATTGGAGGCCTGTAAGGGCACTGGCCGATTCCAAATCTTGGGAGACGGGCACGGAGACTGCACTCCTGCAGGTCCCTGAGGACAAAAAGATTATGGCAGGGAAATAAAACAGGGGTGAGACTATTAGAGAAATTAAGACGTTTAAATGCAGCCATGTATGCTGCAGAAATGGGGAACACACACACACACAGAAGCCAGGGAAGATGCACACCCAGGAAAGATCTGAGGCGGCCTTAAGCCTTCACACGGGGTTCATTAGCGAAGGTTTTTCCCTGCATGGAGCCAGTCCCTAAAGCCCGGGAGAGGTGGCGCTCCAGTTTGCTGAGACGCAGTCTTATATATGTTAGTAGCAATTAAGGGAGTAACTATCCTCTCCCCTTTGCCTCATCACACGAGTCACCCCGTCATATTTGCAGGCCCACAGTGGAGGGGAGGGAATTACACAGCTTGTGTACTCTGCGCGGCGGGAATCTTGGGGCCGCCTTCGGATTCTGCCTCCACAGGCGCTTTTTTTTTTTTTTTTTTTGGTTGTGGGGGGAAGATTAGCGCTGAGCCAACTACTGCCAGTCCTCCTCTTTTTGCTGAGGAAGGCTGGCCCTGAGCTAACATCCAGGCCCATCTTCCTCTACTTTATACATGGGACGCCTACCACAGCATGGCTTGCCACGCGGTGCCATGTCCACACCGGGATCCGGGCCAAAGAACCCGGGCCACCAAACGTGAGCACTTAACCGCTGCACCACCAGGACAGGCACTTTTGCTAAGAGACACCCGCCCCAGAAGATTCATGCTCTTCCCTTCCTCGTGTACTTGATAAGTGATTAAAAGCTGTCCAGCCTCTCCATGCTGGCATCCATGTACAGTGTGTAGTGCATTGCCAGCAAAACCGACTCTGGAGCACGTCCCATGCTGGCTACACTGGCTGCAGGGCCTGGTCGCAGACCCGCATGGATTCCAGAGGCCAGGGGCGTGCTGGAGCCTGGCCTCGCCACTTTCTGGGCCCTCGCCTGATTTGGAGCCCTGGAATATAATCATTCCGAGAATTATCAACGGTGGAAAGGACTGAGCCCCTGCTTCCTCCGGTATCACCCAGCTCCCGGGAAGGTTTTGAACTGTGGGGCATAACCAGGTGGCCCTGGCAGAGGTTTTCTTAGAGTTGGCATCTCCTCCTTCAGACACATTATACCCACTACAGGTAATCCAGAAGTCTTAAGACTTGTTGAGAAATATTCAAACTTGCTTTGCCATGTTGTCTGTCATATGAACAAGCTGCTGGCATGTGGTAGCTACTCAACAAATATTTGCTGAAAAGCAAAGTGTTTTTAAAAGCAGTTTCTATGGAATGAGTGTTTGTATCTGTCACCCTCCAAACTCACTGGTTGAAGCCTAATTCCACGTGTGGTGGTGTTTGGAGGTGGGGCCTTTGGGAGATAATCAGGTCGTGAGGGTGGAGCCCTTGTGAATGGGATTAGTGCCCTTAAAAGAAGAGACAGGAGCCAGCTTGCTTCTTCTCTCCCTCTCCCTCTGCCATGTGAGGAGACCAGGAACAGGGCCTGCACCAGAACCTAACCAGGCCAGCACCCTGATCTCGGACTTCTAGCCTCCAGAACCATGAGAAATAAACGTTTGCTGTTTAAGCCACCCAGTCAACAGTAGTCTTCACGGCAGCCCGAGCAGACTAAAACAGGAGTCTTGCATGTTGGTGTGTCCTGAGTTAGGATTTTATCTCAGAGGGCTGCGTGTGTCTCTTGCCTAAGGGTATGAGGCTGCAGTGAGGAACACCGGGGGCCCATCCAGGCTCTGGGAGCTGTGAGCCAGTGCATTTTGCCACCGTTCCTTTGCCCTGCTGTCAGCTGGGCCGCCCATCCCACATGTAACTCCTTCCTGGCAGCACTACTAGACAGGTGCCCACCACTGGCTGAAAGAGTCTTTGGTCTGTCCCAGTTTCTAATAAATAGTCCCATTATTCCTTTGTCACATTCTCTCTTGCAATTTTCTTCATTTAGGAAAGATAGAAACTGAAAAGAAGAGTCAAGAGACCTGGGTCTGGCTTCAGCTCACCATCGAATTAGACTAAATCTTTTTTTTTAACAGCTTGATTGAGAATTTGATTCACACGCCACAGAATTCACTCTTTTACAGTGTATGATCCCATGTTTTTTAGCACATCCACAAGGTTGTACAACCATCACCACTGTCTAATCTAATTTTTTAACATTTTCATCAGCCCAAAAGAAAGCCCATACCCATCAGCAGGCCTTCCCTTTGCTCCCCTCCCCCAGCTCCTGGAGCCACTAATCTACTTTCTGTCTCTGTGGATTTGCCTTTTCTGGGAAATTCATATAAATGGAATCATACAGTGTGTGGCCTTTTGTGTCTAACTTCTTCCACTTATGATGATGTTTTCAAGGGTCATCTATGTGAAAGCATGTGTCAGTACTTCTATCTTTTTCATTGCTGAGTAATATTCCATCATGTGGATGGACCACAGTTTATCCATTCACCAGTTGATGGACATTTGTGTTGTTTCCACCTTTTTGCTCTTATGAATAGTGCTGCTCGGAACACTTGTGTGCAAGTTTTCTGTGTGCATGTGTTCTCAATTCTCTTGGATATATACCTAGAAGTGGAATTGCTGGGTCATGTAGTGACTCTATGTTTAACTTTTTGAGGAACCATCAGACCATTTTCCAAAGCAACCGCACCATTTAGACTAAATTTTGCCTCTTTTGTGTTCCCACAGCTTTTGGCAGCTCCCAGCTTATGGCACTCGACATGTCTGGCTATGTTTTATAGCTCCTTCCCGGCAGACTTATTTCACTCCCCAGGTCCCAGTTCTTAAAAACAGGAAGACTGTATCTTAATCTGGCGTCATATTTATTTTGATATTCTCAGTCTCCTCATGCGTAAAATGGAGACAGTTACTGGAATTGATCAACACATGAACGAAACTGGGACCCCTCTCCCTGGTCTAACAGGCAAATCTAAAAGCAAGCTGCATAGGCTTAAAGTCAGTTCAGTAAAATCCATGCTGTGCTGTGAAGCAGCCGTGCAGACCTCACACGCCTGGGTCTAATGACCTTGCAGCCCCTCATCTCACGACTCCAGATGCCAGCAGGATGAGTCAGAAAGGAGAGAACATCCTTCTCACATTTCCCAGCTGCATTTCTTAGAGGTTGAAGGAAAGAGTGACGACCTTGCTCCTTGCCTCCCTCCACACCAACGCCGACATTACAAGCTTGGTTTGATGTGTAAACAAACAGCTCTTGCTCTCCTTGAAGTGGATGACTGACTGCTAGATGTGTAAGCCCTTTCCTGCACGTCACCGCTTTGTTAAAAAGTATGTCAACTGCATCAGACCTGTAGACCTCAGAGCAGGTCCTCAACACTCTCTTGGACTGTTTCTAGGATTCAAATTCCTCACTTTGATTATCAAATAAATTCCTTTAATTAACCCATGCTTAGATTCTTTATTTCAGTCAACAGATAGTATCACTGAGAAAGTTTTGTTTAATGAAAGCGGTTTCCCAGGACCGTCAGGGAGACTGCCCAGAGAGAGTGCTTGAGTTTCTGATTAGGAGCAAGAAAAGAAAATCCAGACAATTTCTTTTTCACACTTAGGAAGTTGGATTTTTCTCTTTTCCGATTAAATGATAATAATTATTCATGAACTACGAGAGCTAAGAAGCAGGAATTGCTCTAGCACATGCATTTCTTTTCTGTCATGCACTTCTAGTTTCTTTCTCACGCTCAGGGAGGCCTCTGCAGACGGAGTAGGTGGCGCGCACGGTCGCCCTGGGCCGGTGGCCCCGCAGTCCTTGCCTCACTGGCCAGCTGACCCCGCGCCCGGCTGGTGGGCACCCTCAGTCCCCATCTCTGCAGCAGACACAGCATGCTCTATTTTCATTTGCTCGACAAAATTGTGCTCCTTCTTCAAGCTCTTCTTTTCGAGTTGTTGTCTTCTTTTCGATCTAATAACTAAAATGTAGACGTAATGTTACGGAGATACTAACAAAGGAGGAACAGAAATGGAGGCAAAAGAGGTGAGGGAAAATGTGTGGAAAAATAAAGTTACAAACAGGTGAATTTTCAAGATAGAATGAACATTATTTGCCTGATAAGGATGGTGAAAATTGAATTTTAAAATTATTTTCCCACTTTCTGTATTTAAGCTTTATAAATGCCCTGCCCCCCCCCCCCCAAGAAAAAGAGTGCAGAAAAGTTATAATTTGATGTAATGAAAAGACACTGAAAACATATTTTCTAAGGGTGGGACAAGGGCCATCTGCCTCATAAGCATCAGTGATCTCTTCTCGTCTCAGCCTTTCAGCCTCTTCCTGCCCGCATGTCTGGGGCTGTCGGAGAGGCAACTCTGCAGGCACGGTTCGTCCCGCTAAACCAGACACTGCCCTCTCTTCATAGTTTTGCTGTAGAATTTTTTTAATGTCCAAGAATCTCAGGGTTTCTACACAATTAGGATTTGCCCCCTCCCCAAAAGGATTTGCAGGCTGGGTGGGCCTCTCTCATACAGCGGTCTTGGACCTGAGGGTAGTGACCTCTGTTTTGTAGGCCCGGCTCCCATTTCCACAGCAGATTGAGGCAGACTGTGCAGGAGGGACACCTGGCTGCCTGTGTTCTGAACTCAGGAATAACACCACATTAAAAAGTATGTTTAAGGGAAGTGTTTTCTCCAGGAAAAGTTTAGTTTTCTTTTTTCTGAGGAAGATTAGCTCTGAGCTAACTGCTGCCAATCCTCCTCTTTTTGCTGAGGAAGACTGAGCTAACATCCATGCCCACCTTCCTCTACTTTATATGTGGGACGCCTACCACAGCATGGTGTGCCAAGCAATGCCATGTCCACACCTGGGATCTGAACCGGCGAACCCCAGGCCGCCAAAGCAGAACATGAGCACTTAACCGCTGTGCCACCAGGCCAGCCCAAAAAGTTTAGTTTTCTGAACTCTGTTTTCAATCCTTTGGAATTGCCCTGCAAAAGGAACCACAGAGCTCTTTGCTCCTCTGTATAATTTGATGAGAACGGTTCATTTCTGACGTGTGGCTGTAAATATTCATCTTTCTTACCTCAAACTCCATTAACTCCCACTTAGCTTTGCTTTTGAAAACCAAACCATCATTGCCAGCCCAGCTGTGACTTTGGGTTTGACAAGATCAACTGGTCGACGATCCTCTACCTGAATGAATGAACTTTTCCAGCTCCTTCTCATTCTCTGGAAGTAGGTAAGTGGACTCGTCCTGGCCCTCATCCTCGGAGACTTCCTCTTCCTCTCCTAATAATGGTATCCTGACATTTTTATAAAGCAACGCAAGTTGTTGTCTTTCCTCAGCCTGTACAAGTCGACTGGAGAATAATATAGATAGATTTAGGGGCACGATTTTCACGAAAAATCATCATGTCTTAATCGTGTGACTTTTTGACTGAAAAGGAGTCACAAGTACATAGCGGTAGGTGGGGGAGGGAGGCAGAAGTAGACAGCTAAACCAAGTGATCATAGATCTCAAATTTGTGTGATGGGCAGAAAAGGAGTAACTGATAATGCCGAGCACGGATCAGAGCCAGGACCAGGGGGAGGTAACTGAGGCGCTCACATTGGGTGCAAAACTCCATAGTCAAGATAAATAATATCTAATGCAATATCTTACAAAAGAAAAAGGCCAAGAAATCCATGATGAACAAAATATTGACATTTTAAATAAAGAGAGTATAGCCACTACTGATTTTTCCTTTTGCTCAGTCTCCAGTATGGCTTGGCCCAGCACTGTTACTGATCCTGTACTTAGAATGTTGACATTTTGTTCATTGTGGACTTGGGGGACATTAATTTAGATTTTTTAAAAATATGGCATTAATTGAGGCTGGCTCCATGGCCGAGTGGTTAAGGTTCTGCACATTCCCCTTTGGTGGCCTGTGTTGGGATCCCTGGCATGGACCTACTCCACTTATCAGCCATGCTGTGGAGGCGTCCCACATACAAAATAGAGGAGGACTGGCACGGATTAGCTTAGGGCTAATCTTCCCCAAGCAAAAAAAAGAGGAAGATTGGCAATGGATGTTAGCTGAACACTAATCTTCCTCACCAAAAAAAAAAAAAAAGGCATTAAAATATTATTTATCTTGATTACTGAGTTTTGGGCACCCCTTTAACTTTGCACCTGAGGCAACTCTGGAAGTGCATCATCAAACGGCAATTTCTATTTGATGTGGAAACAGATAATAAAGTGGTTTACTTTTTCCTAACATACTTACCTTCCTAATTCTGTTTGATTCATGTAATAAAAAATAATTTTAGGATTAGCTTATTTGTGTTCTAAGGTGCTGTGATGGAGGAAAGGGTGTAGGAGGAGCATTCCAAATGCACACTGCACAGCAGGAAGAACTGCTCTGACCGTCAGCATTGCTAAAGATAATCAAGAAGTTCAGACAGGACCAGGATTTGGGTGAGGAGAGTGAGGTGCTTACCTCAGGTGCAAAACTTAAGGGGGTGCCAAAAAACTCAGTAATGATGATAAATATTTTAACTAAATATTTAAAAAAATTGAAACGAATGGAAAAAATCCATGATAACCAAATATCAAAATTTTAAATAAAGGCAGGATCCAACAGGGCTGTGATGAATCATATGGGAGCCTGAGTCAAGAGAAAAATGTGTCTCTATACACGTCTTTTTATGTATTTTTAGGACTTTTTTTTTCTTGAGGAAGATTAGCCCTGAGCTAACATCTGCTGCCAATCCTCCTCTTTTTGCTGAGGAAGACTAGCCCTGAGCTAACATCTGTGCCCATCTTCCTCTACTTTATATGTGGGACACCTACCACAGCATGCCAAGCGGTGCCATGTCCACAACCGGGATCCCGAGCCAACGAACCCTGGGCCGCCGAAGCGGAACGTGCGAACTTAACTGCTGCGCCACCAGGCCGGCCCATCTTTATGTATTTTTAAATGGTTATTCTTTTCCAAAACAGTAAAGAAGTTGAGAATATCCTAAAAAATTGAAAAGTGGTGTATCAAAACTCACAACATGATGTAAAGTTTAAATATTTTGTCTATACGAGAAACAGGATTTATTTTACTTTCCTGGTTTAAATGAAAGCAAACTCACCAATAGTATTTTCAAAATCTACTTCTGGAAAAAATTAACCGTGAAAAATTACATAAAAACATGCTCTTTGGGGCATGTGTTTTTCCTTTTGCCTTAGGCTCTAGAATAGCCCGGTGCACCCTTGAGGTCACACAAATGTAAAACCTGCGAGAGTTGACGTTAGCTCAGCCACTCGACTGGGCACTGACAGTCCAGGAGGGTGCGTTTTAGTGAGTTATCTTAGGAAACTTTATGTCTGTTAACATCTTTGTCTACATTAATGAAATAAACTGAAATTGCAGTTACATAAATTGAGTCAAAGGAGATGTCCACATTAGATAGCCCAGAACCCAACATGCAGGTTACACTCTCTCATTAGCAAAATTTCTTCAGTTTTACCACTAATCTCATTTTGCCTCCATCTGACATACTCCGAGATGGTCCTAAAAGGGCTACCTTAAAAAATTTCCTACATATGGCCATATATTCCTTGTGTTCACACTTGATTCTAATAAAGCCGATAATTCAGTATGTCCTTGAGCTGGCTCAGATGGGAAACGCCGGGACCCCGGGATGAGTCCTGGAGGAGGAAGCAGTGTGTGGGTTCTGGTCGGGGTAGTGTGATGCCGCAGTGCAGCTCATTTGTGTCTAACACTAATTTCAAAATGATCACACCTGGAAGGAGCTTGACCACAAGCCTCACGTGCACAAACAAGATGAAGCACCTCCCCAGCGCTCCTGTCGCCCCGGACTGCTTTGAGAACTACCCCGGACTGCTTTGAGAACAACAAGTTTCTAGTGAAAAAGAGAGTGGGCACTCTTTTCTGCTTTGCACTGTTAGGATTCCGTCTAAAGTATCAAGTTCGCTTTGGAACACCACATTTTGGGAGGATGCCAGCATCTCAGACGTGGCTCTCCAAACATTTTTGACCATGATCCGGGTAAGAAATACATTTTACCTTACAACTGTGTGTCTGTCTGTCTGTCTGAAAAGTTTAAAAATCAGCATTTACTTTAATACATGTAATGCTTCCTAATATTTTCTGTTCTAAATTGTATTGTATTGTTTCTTTTTTTTTTCATTTATATCATGACCCAACATGAGTTCAGTCCACATTCTGAAAAACACTAGTCTAGAAATTTACAGTGACTATAATAATTTAGTGATTATAAGAATTCTCATCATCATAATCATTGTCATCAGGAAACAGTTACCTAGTTGATTGGCGATGCCTCACTTCAGGACAGTAGATGTTACTTAGCATATACTTACTACACCACATAGAAGACAACGACCCCACAGATCAGGGCGATGCTGAGGGCAACCCCGGCGATCACAATGACCTGGACAAGAGCAGGTCTACGCGGAATCAGTGCTAAAAACAGAAAGAAAAGAAGTTCTCATAAAACTTCGTTTTAGCTGTGTATCACTTAATATAGCGTTCGTCATATTGTTATTCCAAAGGGGAATGGGAGACAAAATCAGAAATACCATAAAAAAATAGCATTCTTTTTTTTCAGGATTGGCACCTGAGCTAACATCTGTTGCCAATCTTTTTTTTTCTTCTTCTCCCCAAAGCCCCCAGTACACAGTTGTATATTCTAGTTGTGAGTGCCTCTGGCTGTGCTATGTGGGACGCCGCCTCAGCGTGTCCTGATAAGCAGTGCCAGGTCCGTACCCAGGATCCGAACCAGTGAAACCCTGGGCCGCGGAAGCGGAGCGCATGAACTTAACCACTCGGCCGTGGGGCCAACCCCCAAAATAGCATTCTTAATTTGAAAAAAATACGGGTGCTAGATTGCACAGCCTGTGCGAACAAATACAATTTGAATTCCCACATGATCCCTGACTCCGTTTTGTTCATCTGCCTCCTGTCCTTGCCAAAGCCCCGTCTTTTACTCTGTAGAGATATGGGATCCCTGAGTCAGTATAGCAGCACCTGCCACATGTGTCGCTGAAAGGAGACTGGCCTTAGTTTTACGACTCAGGTGTTGCCCTGCTGTCTCAGGTGTGTGGCGCTGCAACACAAGGAGATTTCCGGGCAAGTTAGGAGGCAAGTCCACGAACCTGCATTCCAGGTGTCCGTATTTGGGGCTATCGAGTGCGCTATAAAACCATGGTTGTTCTTTGGAGGCTCAGGTGTATCACTCTTCCCATCATCTGAAACTTAAAAAAAATAATAACCAGAGAGTTGTTTGTACAAATGGAACAAAAGAGCAATTGGCAAAGTACGTACATTGCTCAGCCACTTGTAAAGTCTGACAAATTGAGGTGACTACTCCTCGTCCCACACTTGGCCATCCCCCACTTTCCGTCCCTTCACTGGTACAGGATGAGGAGCAGAAAAGGGCCCTGAGGTTCACATCTCAAAGGAAAGTCAGCTGGACATGAGAAAATGAACCTGGACGTGAAAACGCTAGCAGTGTAAGGTGCTTAATCGTAGACATCAGGTGTGGGGTATACATGTTCACTCTACAGTTTCAACTTTTCTGTCTGTTTTCAGATTTTCATGGTGAAATATTTGGGAGGGGGGAAGAACATGGCTTACAGATGATTTCACTACAACGAGTACTGAAAATTGGCCTTTGGATTTGGTAATGGGATGGTCACGGGAGACCTAGACGGGGGCAGGACTAGCACCGTGGCGGGGATGCCAGCTCGACTGGAGCAGGTTCAAGAGAGAATGGGAGGAAAGGAATTGGAGTTTTGGAAACTCTTTTGAGGAGCTTTGCTGTAGAGCAGGGAAGAGAAATGGGGGCTGTGAGGGGGCCGAGGGATCAAGAGATGGGTTCGCCTTTAAGATGGGAAAATTGAAGGCATGTTAGTATGAGAATGGGGATGACATTTTAAATTGTGATACTATGGGAAAGGGAGAGAGAATTGCCAGGAGTGTCCTTGATCATCTGGCCTCAGAGGATGGAGGCTAGTGCACAGGTGAGGGGTCATCCTTGGCCTGGACAGTGGGAAAGACAGAGAAGGAGGGTGCAGTTGCAGGCAGATGGGGGGTGCAGACACTCTCTTTTAACTGCTTGTATTTTATCACTGATGGAGGAAACAAGGTCATCCCCTGAGAACAAGGCTGGGGTAGATATGTTAGGGGTATTTGTGGAGTGAGAAAAATAGATGAGAAAGTCACCAAGTGTAATGGGAAATTACGTGGACTAGGGAAATGGAAAAGCATATTTTTAATAAAATTTTCTAGAAATAGAATTGCTGGGTATATTGACTATATTTTCTGTATTCTTGATGCTTTGGCATATGGGGCCTTGATCCTGCAGAGACTCCCCCTCCCAGGACTATTTCCTAGAGAGACTCCCCAGTGAGCAGGCCTTTGATATACAAGTCAACCAATCCAGAGCCCACCCCCAACCACCTCCTTTATCAAACTCACACACGAAGCCAGTCTCCCTTCTGCCCTAACTCACCCCAGGGCCACCTACCCAACAGCTAGGAACTACTTCTATAGCCCAGAACCTGCCAAAATTATTCAAACTCTCCAACATTAAGCTTACTCCAGGTGCCTATCCCACCTCGCCCATTCCTTCCCATGAAAACACCAAAAAGGCTCTGTGCCATGCTCTCCCCTCTCCTCCTCCTGCCTTCTGGCAACTCTGGTCCTTCCCCACGTGGCCCTGCATGGTGTGCCATGCCTCTCATCTCTGGGAATCTGTGAGTATTAACATCTTTCTTCGTGACAGTCATTTCCATGTCTGTGTGTCTTACCACATGTGATTAAAACAAATCCCGAGTATATTTCAGTACTCTGGGTTAAAAAGCAAGTGCATTCTTTTTATAAGAATTGCCAATTGCCCTCTATAGAAGCTCACTCATTCCTAGACTACAAACAAGATATGAGATTATATTTCCCTACTCCTTTGCCCGTAGAGTTTGTTATGAAACGTTTTGCCCACTTTCAACATGGTGGCTGAAAACTGGAATTATGGTGTGTTTTCAATGTGTATTTTCCCTTATTATGAGTTAGGCATCTTTCCATATAACCAAGAGCTAAGGGTGACAGGGGAAAATTGGAGTCTTCCAGTGACCTGGCCAGACAAATAATTTTGTCCTCTATCTCCATATCAGAACGTACACTTGGGACCCAAAGCTCAGGTGTGGCAGATGTCTCAGCGAACTGCTGGTGAATGCTCACAAAACAAGCTACTGTCAAAGCAAGGACCAGAGGCAGGCCTTCTGATGCCTTGGCCGGAATTCAGCCTCTGAGCTTTGGTGGCAGTGGGGTGAACGGACAGGTGAAATAGCCATAGCTGAGCTTTAGGAAGACTGATAATGTGTTTGGGATGGATGGATGTATTGGTCATGTTTTTTCAATTTTCTGTATTTCCTGATGCTTTGACATCTGTGCTATTTTTCAGTCTGCCCCAAGTGGCATCATTACTAACCCAGCCACCCAGGGGAGGCACCTTTTTCTAATTTTCACACAGGGGCTGTATAGGTCTTGACTGCCATGGGGTGCCTTCTGGAGCCACACACCACAACAGCCTTGGGAATTCTTGTGGATCCCACTCACCCTCCCATTTCCCTCAACGTACCACTATGCCTCAGGAGTTGCGTGGACATAGCGGGTGTCAGAGCTAGAAGGTCATTGAAGGGGATCAGAGAGAAGAGACAGGTTTAAGATAGATTTAGGAAAATAAGGAAATAAATGGGTATTAGAGAAGGGATTAGAGAAGGGATTAGAGAAGGGCCTAACACATAGTTTCCAAATAGCTAAGATGGTAGATGTTGTTAATAAATTTAGTCCAATGCCTAGCAGAAATTTGTGGCTTAATTTGTGAAATTATGTGGTATTCTGTTTGCATCCAGTGTCTCCTTTCACGAATATGGACTGTCAAGAACATAGCACATTTGTTTTCTGGTCTGCTTTGCAGTCATGCAAGTTGGGAGACCTCCTCCCAGGTTGAGGACCGGGAGAGACAGAGCAGAGCCGAAGGGGGCTGTGTTCTCATCGGGTCAGAGAGCCTGTGCCAGGAAGGGCCCAACAGCGTATCTTCTCCTCCAGCACAACTTAGATGCTATCATATCACGCAGACAGCATTTCTCTTGTACAGAATTGAGATTGTTTATAAACACAACATATCTCCACAAAGAGGTGCTGCCTGACTTAATAGATTGTCAGGGTCAGTTCCTGTGTTTTGAGATAAACAGAGTTCCCTGTAAGACTCAAAATGCAAAGCATGGAAGACAAATGATTGTAAAGAATGTTTTATACTTGGAAAGCATCTGTGTCTGGATGTATGCTCTGCTGCCAAAACATGTTCGCCAAATTACAGTTAAAGTCACACAGACACATTCGTGTGATCTGGATGGGGTCAAACTTTTTGTGTGTGCTGATTGGAGTGAAATGAAAGAGAAGAGATCTTCCTAAAGAGAAAGCACAGCCTACAGAGAGGGAAGAACATAGTATTTAATTTCCAAGCAATGTCTATCTAATTATATTATTTTATGGATCATGCTACTAACAAACACACCAGAAAAGACACATTCCTGTAGTGTGTAAGAGGACCCCAGGCTACAGTTCTCATTTCACTGCATGAGTAATACAATGACTTACCTCTGGGTCTTGAGGAAGCCCCTTGAATCGGAGATAATTGAGTTTCCTTAGAGGACCATGTGGGCTGTTTGGTGACACTTGTGCGTGTTTGTGACTGTTTATAGCCTTAAAAAGAAAACTTGTAGCAGTGAAATGTAATTTACCCCTTTTTACTTCCCCTGAAATGAGAAAAAACAAAGATTGAAGCTATGCATTGAGCCTGTTGTTTATCCAACTGGTTTCAACTTACCTGCATAAGGCAAGCATAAATGAAATGGGCATTCTGTTAAAAACAAAACTAAAAAGATGAAAGAACTTTGAACCCTGTCCATCACTCAAAAATTGTTAGTCTTTTATCATATGGGTGAAAGGATATATTTAGCTGTAGTCCAGCATCTGCCCTATGTTTATCTGTGGAACTAAGAAGCTCTGCCTGCTTCAGAATGTGTGGGTTCTGACTTGGAGCCACCAGTGTGAGGTCAGCTCATGTCACCACATGGGATTCCTTCCCGGAACCAAGTCAGCCAATGGAGAGAGGCACAGGACGAGAGGGGCGTGCCAAGAGTGAGACTAAATTTGTGGGTACAGATACAAATAAGATCAGGTCCCTGCCCTCAGGGAGTGTACAGATTAGTGAGGAGGCAGAAAGAAATCAGTTCTAATTCTACGTGACACATCCTAAGAAGCAAACAGAGAAGGCAGCAGGACTCCTGAGTCAAAATGCCTGGAGGCTCAGCCTAGTCTCTGGCTTCCTAGATGGTTGAGCTTGATCAAGTTACTGAATCCCTCTGAGCTTCAGTTTCCTCATATGTAAAACAGGAGGAAGAAATAGCACCTACCACACAGGGTTATAGCAATGGCTGAAGAATGTAATCCATGCAAAGCTCAAAAGCAGAGTTGGCCTGGAATGTTAGTTCCTGCTGTAATACTAGAGAGTGTCAATATTTTCAGAAAAGCAATTCAGTACACCTCCAGTCTCTGGGGTGCTGTTCAGAAAGCTAGACCCGAGTGGCTGTCTCCAGAAGTTTCTTTAAAGGAGATTAATTGAGTCATCTCAAAATGAGGAAATGGGATTGAAAAGTAGATGGCATAGAAGTCAGTTGTCCCTTGTACCTGTCCTTTGTCCATCCAGCAGTTCTCTCAATACACAGGCAGGTTTCGAGTCACCTCTACCAGTTATAGTAGGATAACAGACCAGAAGCTCTTTAGATGCTTAGAAAGCCCCTAGGATTAGGTATTGTTTCCACATGCACTGTATCCCAAAGGGCAGCTCTCCTTTCTGAATGTCTGGCACATGACAAGGCTGGGATCCTCCAGAAATACCCATGCAGTGGACTATAGCCAGTTTCTTGCTTTATTCTTACAACACCCCAATCCCCATTTTGGTCTTCCTCCCAAGTTGCTATGCCTGGGGATGATCCATGTAAGAAGTTGGCTGCCACTCTCTCTAAAACCTGCAATCTCACAACGCTTCCGATTAAACCCACCAGATGAGTTCATCTGCTGTGTCTCTTTGGACTTGGTTTTGGATTGTCAATCTCCTTTGGGCACTGCTGCCTTCAGACTTGACTTTGGACTGCAAAGCTCCCCACGGGCACTGTTCTCTTTGGAGTTAGTTTTGGGCTATCAGCTTCCCAATGGTCACTCGTGACTGACCCACCATTTTCCTAGGTCTGTGAATGCTTGGCTCTTCCTAGACTGGGATCATGACTTTGTTCTTACATTCCATGCACCGAGCCCCGCTGGATGAATGGTACCAACCCATCAGAATTCCACTTTGGGATAATGATGCTAACAGATGTGTGTAGAGAGAGTATCTTTTAACCCTATTCCCTCATTTTATAATCTTGTTTGAGTTAGAAATAGGTTTTAGTAAACAGTTACATTGGAGTTAAAGTGATTAATATAGAATTTTTGATATATTAGGTAGCTCATTTCAGAAAATAGACTGTTGAGAATCTTCTAGTGGTTTCCCAACCCTGCTGTGAATCTGTGTTAGTTTTCTATTTCTGCGTGGCTGACCACCACAAACAGCAGTAAATAAATACACCCATTTATTATCTCACATTTTCTGCAGGTCAGAAGCCTATGCACATGGCCTGACCGATTTCCCTGCTCGGGGTATTGATTCTGTGCTGAAATCAAGGTCTTGGCAGAGACTGTGGTTTCATCGGAAGCTTGGAGTTCTCTTCCAGCTCATTCAGGTGATTTGCAGAATTCTAACTGCAAAATTGCAGAATTCTATAGCACTGAGGTCCCTGTTTTCTTTCCGGCTGTCAGCTGGGGATTGCTCTCAGCTACTAGAGGCTGTCCTCAGTTTCCATCTGTGAGGCCCCCTCCATAGGCCCAGTAATTTTTAAAGGCCAGCCTGATTAGGTTAGGCCCACCCAGGATGATCTCCCTTTTAATTAACTCAGGGTGACTGTTTGGGGACTTTAATTACATCACTTTGTCTTTTCATATAACATAATCGCAGGAGTAAAATCCATCCTATTCAGCAGGTCCCACATACAAAAGAGGAGCGGAATTATATAGGGCATGTACCCAGAGGGGGGAAATCTTGAGGGCCATCTTAAAATTCTGCCTACCACAGCATCCAAAGCCTTTGAAGAACGTCCATAAGATACAAATTCACAGGCCCCAACCTAAAAGACCTAGCGGTTCAGTATCTCTGGGTTGAGTCCTGGGTATCTGTGTTGTTTTTGTGTTTTTTTTTATGTTTATCAATTTTTTTATTGAGGTTATGATATTTTACAACATTGTGAAATTTCAGTTGTACATTATTATTTGTCAGTCACCAAATAGGTGCGCCCCTTCACCCTTTGTGTCCACTCCCAGCCCCCTTTCCCTCTGGGACCACGTATCTGTTCTATGTGTCCATGTGTTTGCTTATCTTCTTACATATGAGTGAAATCATATGGTGTTTATCTTTCTCTATCTGGCTTATTTCACTTAAGAAATACCCTCAAGGTCCATCGATGTTCTTGCAAATAGGACAATTTTGTCCTTTTTATGGCTGAGTAGTATTCCATTGTATATATCTGGGTATTTGTGTTTTTAAATAATTTCTCTAGACTCTTCTGAGATCTAGGAAGCTTTGGAAACTGATATGGTCTGTCCCCCTTGTGTGACTGATAAGGAAATTATTTTAAGAATCTTTCTCCTGACGTATGACTTCTCCCATTTCATCCTTGAAAGTACTGCCCCTACTCCTGAGGAACAGTTCCCTGCATAGTAATTGCCTTGTTCTAAGATAAATTATGCAATTTCCTCCCCTCCAGTCCCTCCAACTGGGCCACAACTCCCCCCACCCACCCCCCCCGCGAGCTCACCCATCTCCGGAACCTGAGACCAATCTGGCCTCCACACAGGGAACCGGAAGGGCTTGCGTACCTACAACCAGTCCTCCTAGCCTTGCTACAATCCTGTTCTGCCCAGGAACCTAGTTATTTTGATGGAGCCTGTACCTTACTCCTTGTGCTAGAAACAGGATCTTTTGTCCCTGTTGCTGCTTTCACAAATTGCATTCTGCCTCCTTCCAAAAAGTTTCTTTAACTGGAGTCCTCCCTTTGAACCAACATTTTTGTGGCAGACTTAATCATCTACTCCATCCTTCCTAGACTTGCTTTCTTCCAAATTCCTTACCTGCCAGCTCTTTCAGCCCCCGAGGCCTGGCATCCATCTTCCTCATGCTGCTAAAACTGTCCTTACTTCTCCTTCTAGATCCCTACTCCAATGTCACACTTGGGGATAATTCTAATGAATGCCTGTATATGTTCAGTTGTTGTAAGACTAAAGAAGAATATTTTGCTGTTTAAATAGACCTGTTTAAACATCTGGGAAGCTCCAATAAGCTGTTGCTGTTATTTGCTGAACCATGACTGGAGGGCACCTGCTTCTTGAATCAAGTCTGTTCTGGAGCCAAAGCAGGTGTGAGAAAAACCGTGAAAGGCTTTGAAATTGAGGGGGTGTCTGACTGGCTCACCCACTCAGATGATCTTGGCTTTTGTTTGTCTGTCACTAGGCTCTTCTATACCTCCATGGAGATAAAAATTAATTTGAACATTGAGAATAATGTAAATACTGCCTGTCCATAGAAATGCAAATTGTGTCTGGCGGAACGCATTCATTTGATTATCACTCTGTGGATACTGACCAGTTGTGCATCCCTTTCTAAATTCATTTCAGCATCCCTCTGACAAGGACCCTCTCCCTGACCAAACTTTAGTCAGGTTCCTCTTCTAGATTAGGCCTCGTTGTCCTTGGCCTGCCAAGCCCAGTTACAGCAAGAATCCCCCATCCTTCACACCTGACCAAGCTCCTCTTAGTAATTTTCCATCCTCTCCCTCATCTTGACAAATTCCCAGCTGCCCCTGTTGGATTCACAGTTAAGTTCACTCTCTTTCCTCTCCTGCAACAATCTTGAATGAAGTCTTCCTTGTCATTTTAAATAAGCATCCAGTGCAATTTCTCCTTGAGAGCTCATCTCACTGTAAGTGTGTGGCACTCCAGTTTTTTTCTGAACTGACCATAATATCTTACTGATTCAGTTTCTGTGTTGTTTACACAATTCTGTGCTACAAGAATACATCGTAATACCTCCAGTCAGTTTTTATGTATCTAGAACATTTTAGTGACCAAAAAAACTAATAATCTCACAAAATGTAACATTGAGAGGGATTTTACTTAATTTATAGATATAGAATCTATAAATAAATATTAATTAGTTATACATATCACCAAATTAAGATAAGAATTCAGCTATGCACTTAGTGTTAATCTTAACACTTTCCACATTGGAAATTTTGTCAAACAATTTTGTGTTTGGGGTATTTTAGGGAAGTTCTAGACTCTTACTTCTTTATTAAAAATGAGCATCAAGGAGAAAAGACAAGAAGGACACCAATATATTAATGAAACAGTATAACACAGTTGCCACAGAAAATACAGGATGACCAGTTCAATTTAAATTTCAGATCAATAACAAATGATTTTTTTTAGTATTTTTTAGTGATGTTTGGGACATACTTATACTAAAAACAATTATTTGTTGCTTATCTGAAATTCAAATTGAACTAGCCATTCTGTATTTTTATTTGCTAAGTCTGGCAGTTATAAGGGTAAATAAAAATAAGATTAAATTTTCCCTGTTGCCCAAAGAGAAAGAGAGCTTTTCCTGCTTCCATTTTCTTAGAGCATTTCCTAAGAAAACTTGTGGTATTTGTAAATCCTTCCTCTGTCCTTTTGATATGTGTGCAAATCTTTTTAAAAAGCTGAATAAGCATCTTGCTAATGTCACAACCCAAGAATGTTTTTCTTAAGGTCCCAGTGCTATCTTCTTGAAATGTAAACCTCGAGGAAGCTGGCGCCCCCTCTTCCGCCCTGTCCCCACAGGAGTGAGCCTAGGCACCCAGAGCCAAGCTATAACTACTGCTTGTCAGGGAAGTTTTATTTTTCCTTCAGATAAACGCAACTAACTAACACAGATGGCCACTCCAATTAGCAGGATGAACT